ATTGGACTACTGAAGACTGGAAGAAGGTATTATGGACTGATGAATCCAAATTTCAAATCTTCGGTTCATCACGCAGGATCTTTGTACGCCGTCGAATAGGCGAGAGGATGGTTCCACAGTGTGTGACATCAACTGTCAAACATGGAGGAGGAAGTGTGATGGTCTGGGGCTGTTTTGCTGGATGCAGGGTCGGTGACTTGTACAGAGTGAACGGCACTGTGAACCAAAACGGCTACCACAGCATTCTGCAGCGCCATGCAATACTTTCTGGTATGCGCCTAGTTGGTCAGAGGTTCATCCTACAGCAAGATAATGACCCAAAACACAAGTCCAAGCTATGGCAAAACTACCCCAGGAAAAAAGAACAAGATGGTAAGCTTGAAAACATGGAGTGGCCAGCACAGACTTAAACCCCATGGAGCTGGTTTGGGAAGAACCGGACAGAAGAGTGAAAGCAAAGCAACCTACTAAGTGCCACACATTTATGAGAACTTCTGCAACAGACTTGGGAAGAACTTTCTGAAGAATATTTGATTTCTATTGTAGAAAGAATGCCACAAATGTATTCAGCTGTTATAGCTGCCAAAGGTGGCTATTCTAAAAAAAAAACTGGAAAAAGTGTGGTGTTCTAAAACTTTTTACCGGTAGTCAAAAGTTTGTTATTTTCACGTTTGTTATTTTTCTGTATCAGTATCTGCTACTCCTGTACCCCTGAAAATTTGCATGTTCTCCAGCCGCTAGAGGGCACTGTTGCAACTTATACTCCGGAGCGACTTATATATGGTTTTTTCTTCTTCTTGATTATGCATTTTTTGGCTGGTGCGACTTATACTCCGGAGCAACTTATATATGTTTTTTTTTCTTCTTCTTCATTGTGCATTTTTTGGCTGGTGCGACTTATGCTCCGGATTGATCGATAGTCCGGAAAATACGGTCCTCCATATAGAAACGTTTAGAAAGAATCCAGAAAATCAACTGCGGGAAAAAACCGGGGTCTCGACACATGGCACAATAAATCTCTACTTCTCTTGTTTGAACTACAGTATACACGCACGGACACTCACACAAACGCATGTTTACACTACACGAAACTACAAAACAACGTTCAAGTGTTATTACAGAGATACACTTTGGCTTACATTCATATGGTTTCTCTGATCAGGTGAGGACGTCATGTTTCCTGTGCTCCACAGATGGCGGTGAGGGTCAGATGGGAAAATACAGACGAATAAGAAGGAACATTGCTCTCCTTAAGGCAGAGTTATGGAGGACTATTTTTTTCACTCAAAACTTTTCCCTTTGCCTTCTCTTTATTTCCTTTTCTTCTTCTTTTTTTATGACTGACTCTCACACCACTTGACCAAAGAATCCGGGGGTCTGGGGTAGTAACCGGTCGTGCACGGCTTGTCAGGAGAAAACCTGGGGAACTTGAAATCCAGAGGGAGATCTAAAAACAGCAAAGGTCAGACAACAAAGTTACCTCAGTTATGCAGCATGTACACAGAATATCTTCACTAACACTCCCTCAAATGGACAGCAAATACTGAAGAGTTTTCATAATTTGCTGGAAACTGTGATTCACCCTGTGCTGTATCACCGAAGAGGAGTGGGCAAAATATGTGAATTGTCAACCATCGTGCAGTTGAACAGAGGTACAGTTCAAGACACCACCTCTGGCCACTATGGGGAAAAACAACAGAGGCTGCCTTTACCACCAAGTAACTATTTATAGCGTTCAAATATATATTCCATTTTTTTTTTTGCAATTGTTTTTGACTATTAACAAATGCTTTTTCCTTAACTACATACTGTATTTTCCGGACTATATCCTGCTTTTTTCATCCTTTGGCTGGGTTTGCGACTTATACTCAGGTGCGACTTATATATTAAAATATATAATTTCACAGGTTTGTTATTTTTATACTGACAGCCGCTAGAGGGCACTCTAGACTTGTGTACCAGTAACTGCATTTTTTGGCTAGTGTGACTTATAGTCCGGAAAATATCGTGTATTCTATTTCAGTCACTTAAACATTAAACATTTCTTGAGAAAAATATTGTTAGTTTTTAAACTCAATCTAAGCAAATAGCCCCCCCCCAAAAAATGATGTGGCTATTATATTACTTGTTCACGCTCAAAAAATTGTATTACTAAACTAGGATCCGAAGCATTTCTCCTCAGTAGGGATGTCTAAACTAAGCTATATCTTATATATATTAAATATTAGCTCAATTATATAATATCGATAGACATTGTTATTGGTTTTTCCTCCGATAATGAAAATCCAATAGCGCAATGCTTGGGTTTCGCCCAGTTAATGTGACCTAAAAATTGTTTTGAAGTAAAAGTGAAAGTGAAACTATTATTTGTATTGTGCACAGTATTGTCACTGTACTGCACTGCACACAATGAAATGTGTCCTCTCCCTTTAACCCAAACAGCTGCATATATCTGTATTGGTTGACATCGGAATTGGAAATTAAATATTTGGACAATATCGGGAGATCGGCTATCGGCAAAAAGTTAATATTGGACATATGAAATTTCAAAATCATCAGGGGCATTGGCACATACATTTTTTCTTATGAACTTTGATGCAGTTTTCCTTCTACAATATGAAGTGAAACGATTTCTTCATATTAACTCGCAGCCATAATAATAGATAACACCGTTGTTATTGTAAAGATTTCCAGATTTTAACTGTCAGACTTAACAAAATCAACGGAAAACCTTTACTTTAACCTTCAGAAGTCAAAGATAAAAGTGAGATATAGCTCTTGTTTGTAGGCGTTGTTTATCCATTTATCGTTCAACAAAACAGATCGCAACATGTGTAGACAGAGGCGAAGGAAGTTACTTGCATCAAAAAATAGATACAACACTTGATCTCATTGTAAAACAGCCTTGAGCTCATTGATGGGAAGGATAGCTATTCAATTTTTCCACTGCTCTGCAACACGGGCAACTGCAGCTACTTCTGACTTGGCTCCACATCTGGGCCTAGTTTAGTTCTGACTGTGTCAATGTTGAACCAGAAAAAAATGCAGAGAATGTTTGATGCGGTAAAATAGACTCATAAAGCCAGTTGTTTGTAAATGTGATTCCCATATATGTTCTGCCCATATACAGGAATATTTTGCTAGTTAGTGTTAGCCAGAAAAAAAAATAGTTAAAAAAAAATAAATTAAATTATTTTTTTTTTCTTATTATTTTATTTATAACCATTTGTTCTGAACCATACAAGATGCCAAACTTACTTTGGTTCAGGTCCTGCATACAACATAATTAGATGTCAACCAGTACAATCACAACATAATTACGTATAAATAACAAAAAGTCCATCTTTTGCAGTTTTTTTCCTGCAAATTTAATTGATATAATTAATTAAAATAAATTCCATTTTACAAAACATTTCCTTTATATGAAGAGTTTGTGTATTATTTTTTTTTTTTTCCAAAATTATCAAGCGGGACGGCTTTGCGCCACGGGCCGTATGTTTGACACCAATGGCGTAAACGGTAGTAATTGTCACATTGTCAAGTTTCCGATGGTACCCGAATGCACCTTGTGTGACAGGTGCAACATTGGCATGTCCTAATCTGTGTAGACCTGGCGGTTTGCGCCTGCTGCTCTGCTTCTCAAGCTAGCGTGTAGCTAGCCAGCACCAAATGGTAAAGGCTATTGACGGTGCTGAAAACATGTTTGTTTAAATTTATTGAACAGTGAATAGAAGACAATAAATTCTAAAAGTTGATGTTTCTTTAAATATTTTGTAGCATCGTCTGTAGGTTTGAAAATGCGGTCCCCGTTAGCCAGAAGCTAACATGGTTTAGGGGGCCTTGGGATAGAAAAGTTTGGAACCCCTTAGCTGGACAGGGGTTCCTGTACTGTCACTTACCTGCTATGTGCTCAACACTGGGGATGGCTACAGTGCTGTATTTGTGAATGCACTGGCTGCACCAGGTGAGTTTCTGGGTCTCCTCGTCCCCTTCTTCATTCCTGTGAACGTCGACGAAGTACGAGCCCCATTGATTGGACACAGCCGAGGGCGACTTCATGCCCTGCTCCTGTTAAGACATAGCAGATTATCTATCAAGATTTGTTTGCAGGCAAGTGCAGGCTTGATTCAAAGGAAGAGAGAATTTAAGATAGTGGTCTCTATCAAGGACATACATAATGACTTGGAGGGCCCATCTGGCCCCCGGGCCTCGAGTTTGACACCTCTTCTTTAAAGGAATTCCTTCATTCTATATACTGTATTTGGAAGAAGTCTTTTGCATAAGGTCACAACCAATTTCTTTGCCTCATTGAGGGATCGAAATGAAGTTTCTCACAAAGTTCATTCAGTTTGAAGAAAAGACAAAAATCTGACGGCGCATTTCAATAATCACTTAAATTCCAAGATTTTAGGAAATGAATCAGGAATTAAAAATCAGGTAAAATGAAATGTGGCTCTGCTGAAGCCACGACAAGGATCTGTTGATGTTCCATAGGTCTGAGGGATGTGCCTCAACACGCTTTAGTCAAAGTCAGACTTTTAAAAGCTTAACATACTTTTTGGACCCTTCTGACCCGTGTATTCAAACGGCTAACTCCACAAGACGAGGACACCGGTGGACATGCAGACTCTCACAGTGCCACAGAGGGAGGTGGGGGGTGAGGGTGGGGTGAATGGTTTTCGGTCGAAGGGGAGCGGTTGCTAAACGGAAACAGCTGCTTTTGTGCACTTACCTCAAACTTTCCCTTTTTCTCCAGCGGTTCCACTTGGGCCTCATTGGAGATTGCTGCGTCGCTCTTTGGGATCCCCTCCCCCTCCATTTCCTCCACTATCATAACCGTTTCCCACTTCCCGAAGCTGCTCGCGGGGAACATATCTGAGCGCATGCTGTCTCCAAAGTACGCAACCTTCAGGGCGAAGAGAAAAGACACAGAGAATAGCTTGAAAAATGTGGAAGACTACAGGAAGGCTACACAAAATCAGCAGTGAGGGAAGTCTTATGTCTGGCCCCCCCTGTCCTCCCCGCAGGGTGGTAAACCAGACCAGACATGATGAGTCTGCAAAACTCATTACAACCTGTCTGACCACTAAATCGCTTTTGTTCTTCACATCTGGAAGGAAAAGCAAGTTAAGGCAAGCTTCACGGGGACACATTCCAAAACCAAGATGCAGACACACACCAATTAACACTTTTGATTTACATTGCTTTGTATTCCCTTCAAACAGGACGAAGAAAAGAGTTGACAAATGGGAAGAACTCTCATAGAAAATAGCCTAAAAATAAAACCAGAATACCAGAATATTTTTGGAAGATTTCATCACCATCAGTTTGGAAGATGGTGACTATCTAACGCTAACGTCGATACAACGGTCGCTGCTCAATCTGCGCACATGGTGTTTGGTGTAAACGGCCTATCAGAGCAGTGGTTCTCAACCTTGTTAGGGTAGTGACCCAATTTCGACATGGCAACCCCAGGGAATCTTGTTTTGCTTTCCTCGCTGCTTATTCGGCTCGGCACATTTCTTTTCTTTATGTGTCGTATCAAAGTGTCCTTTAATCTTGTTGGCCTTCCAGAACTTATTTATTACATTGTTCGGGAAGTCTGTATCAATCAAGTAGCTCTTCGTATTACTACAAGTGTCCTTGAAGTAGCACTTGGTTTCACAAAGGTTGGTGACCCCTGCTGTAGACATTTTGCTGTCGATCCTAGTTTACGGCGCACTCACATTTGGGCCATCGTACAGTGCTAAAGCACGTTCGCCCCCTAAAGTCAGAATTTTATGGCTAGTGTGTATGACCACGGCACACTTCCCTGCTAAATCGCGGCTAAAAGAGTTGGACCGGAGCACAGAACATTTGGCCACACAAGTGCGGTTAAGTAACCTCCACAAAAATCATAGTAAATGTGCTACACGATTGGCTGCGAACTGTCACCTTGTGCATTCAAGAAATCAAAATATTGGCCAATTAGAATTCCAGGTGACCCCCCATTGGGTCGTTGAAAAACACTGTATTACCTACCAATACCTAGCATTAGTACCGTATTTTCCGGACTATAAGTCGATCTGGAGTATAAGTCGGACCAGCATAATGATGAATAAAAAAAAAACAAACAAACATATTTAAGTCACACTAGTGCCCTCTAGAGGCTGTCAGTGTGAAAATAACGAAACATGTACATTTTTCAGTGGTACGGGGTTAGCAGATAGTGGTCCACAAGCCTAGAGTGTCCTCTAGTGGCTGTCAGTGTGAAATTGTATATTTTAATATATAAGTTGCACCTGAGTATAAGTCGTAAACCCAGCCAAAGGATGAAAAAAAAAAAGTGCGCCCTATAGTCCCGAAGATACGGTATCTGTGAACTGAGCTGAGTTTTGTCCTAGCCTGACTGTAGCACATGTAGGCAAACGGTCACACGAATCACGGCTGCTGCTGAGGGCACTCTTGCAGTCAAAGGGCACGGTGGGCTGCAACTTGGGAGTCTCATTTCAAACAGACCTTTACAGGAATATCCACAGCTGGAAGCCGAAAGAAAAAATCCCAAAGCCCATGCACTTCTGTCTCTCATCAGTCAAGGCGGCTGCCAGGGTCATAGGATCACTACACTAAATATTGACTGAAGGTTTGCATTGCAGCAAAGAGGCAAAAAAAAAAAAAAAAAACATGTCATAAAAGTGAGTCAGTGAGGAGTTATATGGGTCCATTTGCATGAGTCAAACAAACAGGAGATGAATCAGACTGCAGCTTCAGATATAAACCAGATGAACATGTTTATACGTTTCCCGTTATGAATAAATAATACTGTCGCCAATATATGTACTAAATTAAATCAAATGATTTAAAAAAAATAACTTTGTCACTACTTTAAGCATTCTGTGGGTTAAAAAAATATATGTAAAAAAATGTTTTTCAAAATAATTTGATATTGGTTAACTGCAGCAATAAAGGGAGAACAGGAATCTTCATCTATCCTAAACCCCCCCTAGTCTCCGAACTCGCCTGAGGGCTGTTCAGGTGAAAGTGGAAACACAGAAGGAACATTTCAAACGGCTATAGGTGCGATGCACGTTTGACTCCAAATTCCTCAAGGGCTTTCTCCACGTGGCCAAAGAACAAGGGCGCATTGAGCAGAGAGGAGGGACGCAGGGAGGAGGGGAAGGGTAGAGGTGATTGCGGGCGATGACAAGAAGCCCTAGGGCTCCTTGATTCGGCACTCAATGTATTTAACTATAATATAACCACAATGAATATGTGTGTAACGATTAACAAGGTATTTAACCGTTTGCCAATTACAGCGAGCCCCGACATGTGAGGTTTTGTACTGCTTCTAGTTTTAGCTGAGTTTCATTTCAACTGTTGTTAAGATTTTAACAAAAAAAAAAAACATTGTGGAAATGCTTAAAAGTTCGAAATTTTAACTTTGCTTTTCAACATATTCAAAAAAAGGTCACTGATGTCACTTCCATTCACGCTCCTCTAAAGAATGACTATGCAATAGTCCTTGCTCCGTTTCATCTGCGAACTCCTGGCAGCCTCGCACACCGGACATCTGCGCGCAGTTATGCCACGTTACTCTACTTCCAGCATATTGTGAACTTTCTTCGACCGCGTTCGATCTTATCTGGGCAGAGCTCAAAGCAAACAGATACTGGCAGAATATCTGGCTGCTTCATGCTTTAATATGTGGCTTGGCGTGCCTACCTTTGGCTCAGATTTCCCTGTCATGGTTTTCAGCAGCTCTTGGAGGTGGACCCAGTTGCCCTGGGAGTACCAGCCAGGTTTATCCAGTGACGGCAGCCCTTCTCTCTCCTCCACATCATTTACTGAAGAAAAGAGAGTAAAAAAAAAAAAAAAAAAAAAGATGTCACTGATACATGTCTGAAGGTAGCCATTTTTTTTTTTTTTTTACCAGAACCAAGAAAGCGGACAGGCAAGTAAAGACAGAAAGTGTCCGATATTAACTTCTTGCCGATATCTGATATTATCCAAATATATTTCTGATTTTAATATAAGCAACCGTTTGGGTTAAAGGCAGAGGACACACTTTTTCATTATCGGAGGAAAACACGATAAGGATTTTACCGATATTGCATACAGTATCTTCTAAAAGTCGCACTTTTTTTTCATCTTTTGGATTTACACTCAGATGCGACTTATATATTAAAATTTCACGATTGTTATTTTCACAGTGACAGCCCCTAGAGGGCACTCTGGGCTTCTGTATCAGTATCTGCTACTTCTTTACCACAGAAAATTTACATGTTCGTTCTTTTCAGACTGACAGCCGCTGGAGGTAACTGGTGCGACTTACACTCCGGAGCAACTTTTAGTACGGAAAATACGGTAATTATGCTATTATGGGTCGTTATTATCGGACATCCCTAATAGGGGTATAACGGTGATTTTCTCTTTAGACTGCTGTAAAACAGAGTGAGCAATTTTTAAACTATCTTTTTGGTCTGTATATTACTTAAAAAATGGTGTAGTATTGGTATAATATTGTAAGGCGCGTTTCTTTAAATATGTTTTCGGAATCAGTTTGGCCACACATTTATGGACCAGAAGTGTCGTTGTTGGCTGCGGCCAGGTAAAACAAAACCACATAACAACAAATGCTGTAACTGTAGAGATTGAAATAACACTGAGGAGGACGAGCTCGCCCATGGATGCACACACACACACAAACAAACATGGGATGTAACAGCTGGGAGGACATTGAACTCTGAGGTGCAGGAATGACTGGTATGTGTTCTGGAGTTTCTGAAGGACTGCAGCTGAGATGAGCATCAGCTGTCAAACTTCTTTTTAACTTCACACTCTTGAGGAAAACCGGTTAGAACCTCAAAGCAAGAAGGTCGTCCGTTTCTGTTGCGACTACAAACGGCATGCCTCTGAAGGCCGACTATAGAAGGTTGCTTCTCATAGCAGCATGTCCTAAAGAAAGACTAAAAGTCGCACTTTTTTTTTTATCCTTTTGGCTGAGTGTGCAACTTATTTTCACAGTGACAGGCACTAGAGGGCACTCTAGGCTTGTGTACCAGTATCTGCTACTTCTGCACCAGTGAAAATTTACATGTTCGTTATTTTCACACTGACAGCCACTAGAGGGCACTGCTGTAACTTATACTCCAGTGCGACTTATAGTCCGGAAAATAAGGTAATACCAGAAAATGTCAATGCTATTTTTTATACCCATATCAATACTTTGTGTGATTTTGTTTTTAAACCAATAAAGTACATGACAAATTACAATACTTAATTCTTAACACAATATGTTATATATGTTTATTGCTACCATTAAGGGACAAAAATGTCTAGTGGACTTGATCAGATGGACTCACTGTTCTCTTCTGGTCAGTGGTCATGTGACATGAATGGATTACTGGATTATATTACCGGGGGTTTTGCAAAACAAAAGCCTGTATGTAGTTAGTTACCTTAAAAAATGTGAAGTGACACGTGAGCTTTTATCATTTATTATCATGAGTATCGATACTTCATGTGGGAAATCGATACACAATTGATAGTATTGTTATATCGATACTTCAGAATCAAGACTCCTATCACTACTAATGATTAAATATTACGCGATTTGTGTGAGAGTCTAAACCAGGCATTGGCAAACTAAGGCCCGGGGGCCAGATGTGACCCGTCCTTTGTAATCTGCCCCGCCAAACTTGTCCAAATTATATAATTGGTTTGTATTGTGATTATACTTCTGCCTTTTCCCATGTTTTCCCTATAGATGGTGTGGAGAAGGCTAAAAGCATTTTAGCCTTTGCGCATGACTTTTACATGTCATTTATCTTAGTTCACACGAACGCTCCATCTATCTGCTCCTGACCCGGCCCCCTTGTCAAATTTTAGGACCAACTGTGGCCCGCAAGTTCTTTTTCAGAACTTTTTTTCCCTGAATTTGGACACTGTGCAGACACACAGCTGTTTTGTATAGACATTTATATAACACGCATGTGTGTTACTGCCTGGACTCGGTAGCTTAATAAGTGGTTATTAGGATAAGGCTACGTTAGCTGGACTTTGACTATGGAAAGAATTTAAAGCTGCAGCGGCCTCAGTTATGATAGCTGTAATACCATTACCCCCAAAAGGGTTTTTTTTTTTTCAAACAGCAGCTGTACTGGAAAACATCTGCATCCCTGCATGAGCACATACAGTATGTCTACAACCTTAAGAACTTATCTAAGACAACTTTTTGTCATCTTGAAGCTAATTTGTAACCAGCTTCTTGTTTGGTTCTTCAATTATTTTTTTTTCTTCCACCCGACAACTTTTTTGGTTTCGACTTTTAAGCAGGTCAAATGTTTGTGATCTGTCTTTTACTGAGCTTCTAAACTGAGAGCCATTTACGATGTCTAGTACGACTACGACTACTGCTACTATTAACACTTCTAAGACCTGGATAAATAAAAACATAAAGTACTGGCTTTGTGCAATGTTAAGTATTCTTTGAAATGTTCCTTCTTTAAGAGAAGCTCCTTAACACTATGTGTATAAATGTTACAATAACATATTTAGTATAAGCATTAAATACATTTCTGAATATACAAAAAATAAGTATGACAGTCAGTAGTGTCACAGCCAAAGCAGTTACCGTATTTTCCAGACTATGAGTCGCACTTTTTTTCATCCTTTGGCTGGGTTTGCGACTTATACTCAGATGCGACTTATAATTTCTCATGTTTGTTACTTTTACACTGACAGCCACTAGAGGGCACTCTAGGCTTCTGTACCAGTATCTGCCACTCCTGTAAGTCGCACTTTTTCCCATCCTTTGGCTGGTGCGACTTGTACTTCGGAGCGACCTATATATGTTTATTTTCGTCTTCATTATGCATTTTTCGGCTGGGTTTGCGAGTTATACTCAGGTGCGACTTATATATTAAAATATATAATTTCACATGTTTGTTATTTTCCCACTGACCGCCACTAGAGGGCCCTCTAGGATTGTGTACCAATATCTGCTACTCATGTACCACTAAAAATGTGCATGTTTGTTAATTTTCCCACTGACCGCCATAAGAGGGCGATCTAGATATTGTGTAGCAATATCTGCCACTTCTGTAAGTCGTACTTTTTTCCATCCTTTGGCTGGTGCTACTTATACTCCGGAGTGACTTAAAGTCCGAAACATACGGTACACAATGAAATTTGTGAAATCGTCTTCAACATAAAACACTGAACCTACATGTCATGAAACTTAACATATCTTTCTTTTAACACTTTCTTTTCTTTAAAATTAAATGCATAGGATGACAAGGAAAAAGATCATCCGTGTGTTTTTCTTCTGCTCAAAGACATAATCGGCGTTTGCTGACAGCAGACTGGAGTAGGGCATATGCTGAAGCCTTGCAGACGTGGCAAACTTTAGTAAAAGCAGGCCAAGAAAAAAAAAAAAGAAAAGAAAGAAAAAAGAGAAGAGGATTTTTTTGGTGCGTAGATCATCCTGTCTTCTCATATAATATGACTCCCCTGAGTTATGGTTGGCAGGAACACAATCCAGATGATAAGCACATTCCTGCAGGCTGCCCTTCTTTCAGCGAACACCTTAAAACCGGGCATCCATGGTAACAGAAGTCCGGGACCTCTGATTGACTTTAGGCACTGACGGCTGACAGCGATCTCACTACTACACCTCACAGCTGTTTGTAATCATCATATTAAATATAGAACTAAAAATATTTGCGAAAGCTGTGTAAGAACAATGAAGAGCTCTGAAAGTAAATCGTCTGGTATTGCTTAAATTTACGATTTCCAACCCTTTTTGTACCAAGGACCGGTCGGCCGGTATTAGCCGTTACTGCGTTATACTGCGCCATCGCTGAAGGATAAATATTCTAAATAAAACATCTTTTAGACTTTATTCTGTTAGTATCAGTGTCTGAATGAACTACTGTTTTGAAACATTGTCAGATTATCTTTAAATGAGAAAAGTAAAGGGATATGACTGGATTTTTTTTTCTTTGATTAAGTGAATTAGTAAAACTGAAGTACAGTGTTTACACTACGGCCTTTACCAAATGACCTACAGACCGGCCCCCTAACCGGGGTTTGGGAACCCCTGAGTTACATGACACCCTTTACTCAGGAGCCACACGGTGGTCAGGTGGTTTGTATCCCTACCTCACGTGGTAGGTGGAGTGGTTTGATCTCCAAACATGAAGGATGAGTAGCTGTTCACTCTAAACTGACTGTTGGTGTGAATCCAATTGTGAATGGTTGTGACCCTGTGATTGGGTGGTTTTTTTCACTGTGTCCCACTGCGGCCCGGTACCAAATGACTTACGGACCAGCACCTGTCCCCGAACCGGGGGTTGGGGACCCCTGGCTTAAATTATACAGCAATGCAATATTTTAAATTTGACTTGAATATTTGCTGTATTTCACCCATTCCTATCCTCCTTTTAAGAGTATCCGTAAAGTTCTTTCTTGGTGCATAGATGTGGAAACTGAATTAGATCAAAAACAGCATCCACATAATAATTATGTGCGTTATAATAAAGAACTCAACCATTTGGTGAAAGATTAGAGATGCCAAAAAAAACATTTTGATCTGGCCTGTGAGAAAATACTTCGTATATTCATTTAACACTCTTTTAAAAACTGGAATTTAGTCAGTACCGTGAATCTTGACATTGGCCTGTGGAATGCGTTGAGAGTGACAATGTTTAAATATCAGTATATAGACCTACACGATCCATTTGACAGGTGTGTCAGTCAGCTTGACAGCAGTAGACTGACCTAATGCCCTTTGCCGGGTGAGGCTGGGCTGACACAAGCCGGGCGTCTCACCTCAAGATGAAGCTTGAATAAACATATGCTCCAATGGCCTGATGTACCAAACGTGCGTAGATTTCACCGTGAAAAAAGATCGGTATGCTTAAATCCAGAAAGTGTCTGTTTCTACGGTACGTAAAAATTCTGGTGCCTGGGGCCTGATGTGTCAAAGTTGCGAAAGCACAAAAAAAGTGTCATACGTTCTTTTCCATGCTCACCGTCAGACGTCTCAAAACTGAAATGATCGTAGAAATACGCGAGCCTCATTTCGCACTTTTCTACATCTGTGTGCCTTTGGCGACACTTAGTGCTGATGTTGGGAAACTGCTAATAAAAAAAAACTTTTTTCTTTTCATATTTATACCTGCGGACAAGTCACCAAAAAACACACCTCGCCGCATCTCCACCTCCCTGACTAGGATCTACAGTTCGGCTTCAGAATGTTTCCGTACCTACGACAGTTTCTGGATTTTTGCGTATGCCCTTTTTCACGACAAAATCTACGCACGTTTAGTACATCAGGCCCCAGGTGTTTAGGTGAAACGTAAACCTTTTATTCCACACCGTGAGTATTAAATACATTTGTATCGTATGTGTAGTGATGTATATAAACAGTATATATGTGTATACACATATAAACCCACATATATATACGTATATGTATAAATGTGTATATATGTATATATACATACATATATATATATATATGTATGTATATATACATATATACACATATATACATATATGTATATATATGTATGTATATATATATACATATATACACATATATACATATATGTATATATATATACATACATATATATATGTGTGTGGATGTGGCCGAAAAATATACGTATGTATATGTATTAACATATACATATTTTCTGGACTATAGGTCGCACTTTTTCATCCTTTGGCTGGGTTTGCGACTTATACTCAGGTGCAGCTTGTATGTTAAAATATATTATTACATGTATGTTATTTTCACACAGCAGCCGTTACTGGTATAACTTATACTCCAGAGCAACTTATATATGTGTTTTTCCTCTTCATTGTGCATTTTTGGCTGGTGTGACTTATAGCCATGTTGGCATCACTTATTACAGAGCTTGGCTGTCTGTACTATGATGAACCTGGAGCATTTCCTCAAATGACTTCATTCTCGTAATATTGCGTAATATTAAGTATTTCTTCTCTAAGGTCTAAGGAAGGTTTCAAATGTTATTTGTTATTCATTCTAATTAATAATACAATCAAAAAGGACTCACCCAGGGTCCGGAAGGGCCTTTGCATCGGCACTAATGAGAAAAAACCAGGCTTTAGAGCATTTGTGATGATGACATCGAACAGCTCCTCGAAATCCTTCCTGCGGAGGCAAGATAAACAATGTTAGCCTGCGCGATGGGCGCCCGAAGGGTCACTACGTGCCTGAACAGCATTCACTTGCACAATTGCACACCCACTTAAAGCACCGGGACAGCTATGTTGAAAAGTACTGACAAGTAAAAGGTGTCTGCACAGCACAGCTTTATAGTGGAATCACGTAAACCACTGGTTCCCAAACTTTTTTTTTTCTCCCCACAGTGACAGTTTTGCTTCAAAACTGCACTCAACTTTATTTTAATCACTGTAATTCCTTCAAAACCATTACTGTGGAAGACAACATCAAACCAAAAGTAGACAAGAAATATATTCTAGTCGTATTCTACCCCTCCGCTATCAATCTTTTTTTTAAGAGGCCGACCAGATATGACAACATCAAACCGGTGACAGACGCACTTTACTTAAAAAAAACCCCAACCAAACAGACAGAAAATAAGCATTTTAAAGTGTCATCGACATTCTTCAGCGAAATCAAAATTAACACCACTAGATGGAGTTATGGGGGAGCAAAGTAACTTAGGCACTTCTTATAATCTTGGTTCAGCCAGTAGGTTGTTGGATCAGGGCAGTCGCACTTAGTACGAATCACAATTCCTTTCAGAACGGGTAAATAACGTAGGGTCTCACAAGTCTCTGCCTAGCTCTACCCAATATATAAGAATAAATGTATGTATATACAATGATCTCTCTCCTATTGCGGAAGTTGCGTTCCAAGACCCACCTCGAAATGGGAGAAATCGCTAAGTAGAGGCGAGATAGTTATTATATCCATCCATCCCTTTTTATCCGCATATCCGTTACCGGGTCGTGGGGGCAACTGTCTCCACCCAAATCACACTGCACCATACCATCCCCCCTGACCCTTCCTGTGGGTGGTGAGTCCAATAGAAGGTACCAACCTCCCTAACCGGGATTCGATCTTGCCCAGGAGGTGAACCCTGGGGTTCCACACCAACGACAGGGACATTGCCTCTGGGCCAAAGCGCCTAGTTATTATATTATTTACGTATATATTAACCCTTTATTAACCTCCCCTACACTGTTATCAACCCTCCCTAGACTGTATTACCCTTTCCCACACAATTATATGCACAGCAGAGTTGTAGAATGGCGATGCAGCGAAGTGGCCGGCAGACGAGGGGAGATGCTGAGAGATGCTACGATGCATGAGCCAATCAGCGTGAGGAACAGAAGAGCATGCTCAATTAGCCGATAGTACACAGAATACGCATTGTATTAGCCAACAGTATGCTGCGTACGATCTCGTCCAGGTAAACAAAGCGACCAGCGATCGTTCGCAAATGCGCTTATCTCAATTTGAAAACGAGAATCCACATTTTTAAAGCAAAAAAAAAAACATCGAATTTAAAAAAGATCAAATTTAAAAATAAGATCTGCGATGTACTGAGGAAGCGAAAAGAGAACCGCGATATAGAGGGAACACTTTATATACAAATATAAACGTATAGTGGCATAAATGGATAGTGGATGTGTTTGAGACACTCCTGTGGATCAGGTGATGAATATAGTATTTTGACATAAACAGAACAGTCCTCAAGTTTACAGTTTATCTTGCAGAAGAAGCCGGCGCTAAAGCTAATGTTACACAGCTGAAGACGGCCCTGCGGCTCTGTTTGGACTGTATCATCTGAGTGTTAAACAAAAGCTGGACATGTTAACAACTAACAAGTCAACATGCTTTATGTAGCCCTCCAGCAGCAGAGGCCCATTTACAGTCATGGCAAACATCGGCAGCCTCTGTGCACAGGTGGTCGGCTGTTGGTCAGCAGTCTACTGTCAGACAGCTGTGGACTTGTTGCTACTTCTGCCATCTGACTGTCTCTGGCCAGCAGCCACCTAGCCATGCTGACGCCGCGGCGGG